AGTAATTTATTTCAAGAGATATAAACAACAGTCTAACTATAGAATAAAACGTGGAATATATTTTCAGAAAGCAAGATCGTAAATCCAAACATATTTTATTTATAAATGCGGGCTGTTGGAAAATCTTGTAGATGTAATCTTTGATCGTTCAAACTATATAATTTACATACTACTGAGCATATTTACAAACATTTAAACCTTTTAAGATATCTCTTATATCTACACAAATCATCAACCCCGAACAATATTTACAGATCAGTTTTAGCAGATTAAATTTGAAAGTACTCAGACAGTAACCATATCCTTATAGTTTTATCTCTCTCCCTTTATTATCTTTAACATCATTATTTCAAATCAAAGTAAAAAAGGGCAGCGAAGCTGTCAAATGTACAGACACAAAGCAGAAAATAAAAATGCAGAAAATAGGTCATTTTGTCAATTTCGATAAAATGATAAATAATGCTTATAACAGCACAGTCAATCAACACTAAAATTTAATAATTCACAACAGGTAACAAGGTCAATACGATCAGTTTCAGGACCACGAAAGTTCAAATTCACATAATGAAAATCCCAATATGCAAAAAATGATTACAGTGCATAGAAGAATATCACATAATGTTTAAAGATACAAAATCCAATACAATTGCTCATATGGAAATACAGAAAATGCAGAGAGCTTCCGGTGGATGGGAGTTAAAATACACATCTTCAAGATGCCACTATTTGAGAAATAATTTAATTTTTAAAAAATCCCAATAAAGCTGCTATCCACTTTTAATATAGCTGTATTAACATGATATGAATAACCCCAATTGAGTNATACAAAATCCAATACAATTGCTCATATGGAAATACAGAAAATGCAGAGAGCTTCCGGTGGATGGGAGTTAAAATACACATCTTCAAGATGCCACCATTTGAGAAATAATTTAATTTTTTAAAAAATCCCAATAAAGCTGCTATCCACTTTTAATATAGCTGTATTAACATGATATGAATAACCCCATTGAGTTTGAAAATATTACAGCACTGTTATTCATCTATAGCATTATTGTTGGTGTTACATGATTTTTTTGTAAACCTATTCGCAATTTTAAACAACAGTTACCTGCAAAATTATCACCGATTCCTAATTATGTGACACCGTTAAGAGAGCTAAACCTATGGGAATTTACAGGGAAATTTCAACATGTGTGTTTTATGTAATCTCATTTAATGGCCACTTGAAAGTTAATAAGGCAAGTGAGTTAATAGCTCTGAATTTAGCTAGTAATTACCCAAGGTACAATTACATACTGACCATATACAGTAGCACCATATAGCACTTCATGAAAATGAACATTTCCTAAAGAATTGTATGCTTCCAAAACAGAAAACAATCACACTGATTTCACACCTTGAAAATGTGAAAATTATAATTGTAACAAAAAAATCTAGAAAGACAGGTTTTCCAATTGAAGGTGTATTTTAGTCCCATGCTACTCATCTGTAAGTTTGATAAGAGTAAGTAACATTTTTATTGGTCACTATGGAAGCAGTGCCCAAAATAGGGTTTTCTTCAACTTTTATGCAATATTACATGATGTTAAATAGCATAATGACCATCAATTGTAATATCAATATAAAGGTATCATGGATATTCAGAAAATGTGACTTGGAAAGGTCTTCAAACCAATGGAAGTTTCAAGGCAAACCTTAAAAATGCTGATATGTAAAAAATTAAATTTTCACAAAGAAACTATCATTTTCAAAAAATTAATTAATAATACAGGTTTTCCAACTGAAGCTGTATTTTAGTGCTATATTTTACTCCTGTGACAATCCTGTGACAGTGTGACAATAGTAAGTGACATGGTTTTCCTTTAATGGTCACTATGACGGCAGTGGCCAAAATAGGGTTTTCTACAATTTTGATGCAATATTACCTAAGGCTTAATGAAAATATCATGGATATTCAGAAAAAGTGACTATCAAAAGCCTTCAAAGACATGGAAGTTCAGGGTCACACCTTAAAAATGCAAAAATGTAAACAAGAGATAACTGTACTGTTTTTCTTTCTATTTTCAATACCTTTTTTTACATAAAACAGAAATCAATTTACTGTCATTTTTATATGATCAACTAAAAAATTTTTGAGATAGGAAATATATTTATAGTACAATTTTAAATGTCCAATATGCACTATTCTGAAATTCTGAACATAGTAAATGTTTGAATCGGAGAAACTGAAATGATATGATTTTTTTCCATTTTTGACACTTTATTACAAAATGCACAATAACAGGCTTACCGTCATTTTTATATAATCAACTAACAAAATTTTCAAGATGCAGAAAGTGTCAAAAGAACACTGTTATGTACCTTAATCATCAAAACTTAACTGATCAAAGCTTATTTTCAAACTTGACCTGTATATTAGTCAGACTGATCACTCCTGCGAGTTGCAAGACTATAGGCTGATTTGTTTCCCTTGAAATGTGTATTGTTATGCAAATTACGGACAGTTTTGCATATATGCTGAAAAAAGCAAAAGAACAGTACAACTTTTGTAAAAATGGTCCGATCAAGATGATTTTCGAGAAGAATCTGTGTTTTAGTAGGATTGACCACTCCTATAGGTTTTAAGACAAAAGGCTTATTGGTTTTCCTTGAAATGTGTTATCAGTGTTGCACATATGCTGAAAAAAAGCCAAAAAACAGCATAGCTTTTTAAAAAATGGCCCTATCATGCTGATTTTCGAACTCGACCTGCATAGTATGAATATCCATCAGTTCTGTAAGTTAAAAGCCAAATGGTCCAACGGTTTTCCACTTATCGTGTTATCGGTGGTGCAAGAGCACGGCGACGACAGACGCAGATGGCGGCTATATGTACAGACACATGTGTCTGTACATAAAAAACAAGGAATTACAAACATTTTCGTTCTGCTTTCATACAATAGCTGCATAAATATTCGTTGAGTTTCAGGACGTGACTGAAAGGCTTAGTTGCTAGCAGGCGAGTGTCGTGCAGCTCTCAGTATCTCAGTGGACGTCTGGAATGAGAAAATAATGTTAACAATATCTGACTAAACCGACAGGCTTGGAAAATACAAATAATGTATTAAACATCAAAGGGAAGAGGCTACTTAAAATTATATGAATGTTTACTGACTTGTCTGATGTTCAGGGTCAGAATGCTCCGCGTTCGGGGCCATATTTCGATTTATTATAAACAATTTTCCCATATTTCAACACTGCTTACAAAGAGTTTTACAGGTACATGTATAATAAAATAAACAAACCTACAACAACTGATTTAAAAATGATAAATGAGACCTCAAAGGGACAAAGAAACCCTAAGATAATTCAAATCAAAAGATTTTCAAATTATCGTGATTGTCGTAGAGGGAAAAGTTTGAATTTTTGATAAACATTGACCATAAAATAAATGTACACGTTGATGGAGCACACTAGACTTTGAATGAAAAGCTCAGAACTTTGACAAGCACGGTATTATTATCTAAACTAATCTGTGATCTTTGTGGTAAGATTCCAATCTACTAATATGCTAGCAAATATTCAGGCAAAATATAACAAAGAATCGTGACAGAAATACTTGCGGTAAATTGTGTTGCATTCTTTGACTCTTTTTTTATCTACTGACAGAGGTTACTGAAGAAAATGTGATACTTATGAAACATGCTTCTAGGTCTACGCTTCACAAAAGCCCAACCTTGCGACTGCACCACACATGCTGTTGCGTCTTCACCCTGCTGTGTCCTACCGCCTAGTGAGCATTCGGTAATACAGCTCGCACTGCGATGGGCTACTTATTGTTATGCAAATATCGGACAGGTATTGCTCACTTTAGGTCAAGGACTGTGGCTGGAATTGTTCACGAATGTTCACGGTCAAAACCATGTACATGTAGATTTGACTGAAGTCCACATGTTTTGAAATACACCACTTTATTCCACAAATATTGCACATGCGTCTTCCATCATGCAGTTATATTCTTCCTTGATACATTACATGCTCAAAACTCCACTCAATTGTGGAGTTCCCCCGGGTACTGTATGAACATATAAACAGTCTTAAGAGGGACTCCAGGTGGAAAGGGGGGAGGGGGTGGCATAAAAAACAAAATGTTTGACCGGGAAAAACAATAGAGGCGACGTGACTCTTGTAAAAAATAAATAAATAAAAAAAATTTTCTCTGATAATTCCACCGAGAAGATAGCACTTTATGATGAAACGGCAGTATAACACACATGGTGCCATACGGGGTTAGTTGTAGCTCAATTCAAGTTTGATCTGTCGCGTAGCTGGTATATCTGGCCCGTAGCCAGCAAATTAAAAAACGGCGGTTCTTTTTTCTGAAAAAAGTGGACCTTTTACAATGAAACTTATGTGTACCTAGATAAAATTTTACCCAAAATGGACCTTTTCCTGACAAAAGGGGTGGTTCTTTCGACCCCCGACCCCCCCCCGCCTATGGGCCTGTATAAGATAGAGATCAATGTCCATCCCCATGTCAGCACCATTTAAAGGATTTTGAAGTGAAGAGAAGGGCAATATTATTGACGAGACAGACTTTATGCTAATGCTAATGATGGGCTAGGTGTTACAGCACAATACATAGGCCTATATTTATTAATCGTGGAAAATTGCACCTTATTGTAGATGTGTTCCAGTTAATTTAGAGGCTGAAAAAAAATTTCATGGAAGTCTTGGTCTGTTTGTTTACCCATATTTCCCTTTTTAAACGCACATTTTGCTAATGCTTGGATTGTTGTTGATGAGATGGGTCTACTCGTAATTGTTGTGATGCAATATATAATTCACTCCTTAATTCTACTAATTTAGTATGGTGCACTTGAAGCCGAGCTTTCAAGGCACAAGATTTAAGTTTGAAAATTAGAAATTAGATATAAGACAGCAACACTGCAAATGTTAATGAATCACAATGAACACCGTTTTTTACATTAAAGAATATATTTTCAAAAAAATTCTCAACTGTTGCTCGCGCAGTTTTAATTACACTGGACACTTTTCTAAGAAAAGCTGCAATGCTAAGATGGAATGAAAAGCGTTGAATAAATAATCAAATAAATTGCCACTAATTCTTAAATCGGCAATACATCCACATTTTGTCCATATTCAATAAGACCACTGCACGTATGTGACCTATGTTTATCAGTTATTGTATATAAATATTAATTAGGTCATAAATATTATTTAGGTCAAAATTGGGCTAAACACGATGGTCATACACTGTACATAAAATCTGTCATGTAAACGCAAACTGCCACTAAACTACTGAAAACGGCACATTATAGGCAAGCGTCGTGTTTGCTGAAAGATGCACAACGGCAAAAGGCAGTGCAACGTGTAAGTCACAGCTTCAACTTGTGCTACCTGAATATATCTAAAAAAAAAGAATTGGTAAATATTGCCGAAACACGTATACATTCCATGCTTTGGGTACAAATAAATGTCCTGATAATAATCAATAATAATAATAATAACAACATATGTAGTAATTGCACTACCACAATATACACGTAGTAAAAAAATCACATATAACAAGAAACATGAACAAAGCTTGCAGCTCTTTGTAAACCCCATCCTCCACCCTTTATAAACATTCACCTGTTGACCATGGCTGCATTCACACCATGACTAACTTAGACCAGATATTGACTAAATGACATCACCACACATAAAACTATCAAGTCCATAAATCTTGATTTCCCATTTTGAGCAATCTGTCATTAACTGGTTATAAAATTTTCAGACTTTGATAGCTGGCACCTATCATATAGCCAAATATCTGTGTTAAATACTAGAACATATGTAAAACCAACTGTGATTATTTCTATACTGACAAGTGCTATAGGATTCTTACTGGTTTCACAAAGGTGCTGAAGCCCCACAATTGGACTTGACTTTCAGAACAAAAATATAGTCTACTTCTCTTCAATATAAAACGCGTAAGAATCCACTCAAATTTAGTACGTAAGCATGTCACTGTAACATTGGCCAAATCTTCATCCTGACATAAAACATTTCCTTTAATTGACTTTTTACTAATTATCAATAGGGTAAAAAGTACACATCAAATTTTGGGCTCTTTTGTGTAGCAATGTCTGTTGGTGCCAACCGATCTATTTTAGTCCTGATGTGAATGCATCAATTTGTTTATTTCTGGTCTCAGTTTGTCCTGATGGGAACCAGACCAGCGACTTATTTTATTTTCAACAGTCTTACACATCATCAACACTAAACGAGAATCAAACCGTATTCCTCAGATCCTATGATACATATCAACAAAGTATAAACTATACATCAATGGAAACTAAAGGCAGTTGGCAGAAATAAACTGCTTTTTAAAATTTCCAAGACTTGCAGCACAGATTTTACTTTTTTTTGTGACAAAAAATTGAACTTTTCTTCTTTCAGAATGTACGACCTTATACAGTTTCAGTGTCTTGTATCTCTTTATGTTTTGATATGTTGTACATTTTTTATATACAATGTAGTACTGCAAATAATAGGTACACTATATCCCTGCAAAGCAGCAGCTTAAACAACGTCACAAGCATTTCTATCATATCACAATGTTAAACATTTCTATCAACAACATTTAATGTCACCTTTAAAAAAAAACTGCTCTCTATCATAACATATCCATACTGTACTTGTGGTCATTACTTCCTGGTGTTGTCAACACAACTTTATTGGGTTCAATGCAGACTCTTTTATTATTTTTTTTCTATTATTTACAGCTTCAAATTTAATGCTCAAGGGATCAACAAAATTCAGACAATGCACGTCTGAATCAAAGCTTAATCTTGGGCATATTTTTTCCCCGGAAATATCACAACCACAAAAACACATTTTGAAAAAAAATAAAAAAATAAATATATAAATATGCAGCAGACAACAAGCAGTGCCAGTGGTTTGTAGAATTAATAGATAGGTGGTGCCACTGGTCAGGACAGGGCCAACAAATTCATGAAAACACTGTGACTGCTTAATGAGGAAACCATAAAGAAGACAGAAAGTGGACAAATCATCAAATGCAAGATAATACTCAAGAAGACTTCAACGAAAACTGTATAATAATGTAATAATAATGGAATGAAATTAATATAATGCCACTGGGTTGGGGTACTAAAGAGAAACCTCAATTTTGGATAAGAATTGTGTCATTGTGCCTGAAATCATACTTCATGTTCGTTTGCACATTTCAATTGTTAGATCACAGTTTGAATATTTAAGCAATAAAATAATAATTAAATAAAAAATAATTAAATAAAAATAAAAATAAATAAAAACAATTAATTAAATAAATAATTAAATTATTAAAATGATCAATAAAAAATAAACAATCACAATTTTCTCAAGGTAATAAGATATCGAGATGAAATAATGTACTTCTGTAATTATTAATATCTCATTCTTTTACTGGACTGACAAAAAGAAAAAGTTTCCTCAATTCCAGTTACAGAATAAGAATATTATCAATAACATATAATTCACATAAAATATTTCATCTTCATCCATCATGTCATGTGCTTTATAGGATAACATGTAAAAAGTGCCACCTTGCTACGGTAATTACATACTCATTTTATAAGAACACAATTAATGACATTTGTCTAAACATAGATTTGTTAGGTACATAAGAAAAAGTTTCTTGTAGTCAACTGTGTAAGTACCAAATTATATATTACCCTTTATCCCAGAGAGTTTCAATTTTTCCTTTATCCCAAGATCAAAGAGTCAAAATTGTTCCTTTGTCCCAAGATAAAAGAGTCACAATTTCTCCTTTATCCCAAGACGAAAGTCTAATTTTTTTTCTTTTATCCCAAGATGAAAGAGTCACAATTTTTCCTTTATCCCAAGATGAAAGAGTGTCCTTATCTAGCATGTTGCACACCTGTGGGCAGATGTACATTGTAAGATGGTTACATTTTTGACAACTGAAATCAAAAACCCACATTTCACACCTTAAACCTTTCTTACAGTACTCAGAAATCAGTGTATCTTTTTGATCTCTATGACACCATCTGTTATACCTTATATCCTGTCAAAACAGAAAGTCATCGTTTATGCTTATCGAAACGGTTCCTTCCATACGATGTAGTTAATATGACCCGGTTTCTTTGACCCAATTATTCAATTGCCATTGCTCATGCTATCATGCTGATAAAGACAGCTCTTTGTGCCGAGGAAAGGAAAAGTATCATCACGTTTTTTTTTTATCATTTAAAAACAGAAACAATCACCTGACAAGTAAGGTATGTACATTGAGGCATCAAAATACCAAGCACTCGTATTATTGCAATAAACAATGATGTTTATACTTTGCCTATTAAAGTGTTTAACTGTCATAACTAACACAATGGGATGTTTTACTCTCACCATTTACACTATGAGATGGCCTACTGTCACAACTAACACAATGAGTTTTTATGTCACCACTAACACAATGGGATACTCTACTGTCACAACTAACACAATGAGATACACTAACCTCACAACAAATGAATAGCAACAATCACAACTAACACAAGAGGAAGCTCTAATTGTAAAAATTGCCTGTGGACCTAAGAGCAGACCAAAAAGACAGTGAAGGTTTCCAGTACACTAAAATCATGAATCTGGACTTGTAACAGAATCTATAAATATTGAAATGAGCCAGATTAACATGGTTTTCAAGACTTGGTAGCACTGATACACTGCTAGGAGAAAAAAAAACTTGGCTGATAAAGCTGTGAATAGCATCCTTTGCTTTTCTTTAAGAGTCTTTTCTGCTGGTGAGTGAGTAACATTTGAAGGAGTCCACCTACTAGAAAATTCTGAATTTTAGTAGCAGATGCTGGGCCTTCCTTCGACTCCTTTAATATGTGACCTTTTAATGTTTCTGTTCATTAGTAGATCCAAGGAGGGTGGGTAGGTAGATCTTCCAACCTGGCACCTTACCCACCAGATAAAGTCATACTGCACATTTTGAAACCTGTTTTCAAGGAAATTCTTCTAAGCTATTGATAGAACCAAAATATTGTCTTGATCAGTCCTGCCATCTATGGTTTTGTTCCATAAGCATTCACTGCTGTAAATTGTTAAAAAGACATCAGCTGTGAACTCCGGGAGATATGTAAATAAGCAAAGGTTATAAGTAGAAAAGAGCAAGGTCATGGTAAGTCATCTTTTATTTTTTTCCTTCATTTTTTCTTGGCAGAGCTGGCAGCCGTAGGTTTCATAAAACTGCCACCAGGGGGAGAAGTAACTGGGAAATTTGGAAAACTCCTTCTATGAGGGTGTCCGGCACCTTTCATTGGCCCGCCTTTCCTTTTTTTGTCCCAGATCAGTTTCTCGTGGCGGACAAATATGCCGTGTTTCTTCATGCAGCGGAAGTAGCGGACTCCTTTCACGGCGCCATCATTTTTACCTGAAAAGAGGTGAAATGTTTCATAACATTTTTTTTTAAATTATTAACAGACAAATTTGACTTTATTACTAAAACTGTAATGTAATTAAAGTAATTTGAGTGATGAAGGATAAATCTTATTGTCCCTGTGCTGTTGTATCTAACTGCTTATGTGATGATGATGTGACGTGCAACCTTTGGAAGAGCAGAAAGGTTACAACATTTTAGGAAATTGTTTTTGTTGCAATAAGGTAATTTGAGTCCAGCAGGAGAAATCTCATTGTCCCCATGCTGTTGTTTCTGAGTGCTTTTCCTGTTGATGGGCTGTGTGGAAAGGTTAAGACAATTTAGGTAATTGTTTTTGAAAGAGAAAATATATAAGTGTCCAGCACATCTGTGTTTAAGTTTAAGAATCAGCAGAATCAGAAAGATAATGAAAATGCTATGGGAAATTGCTCTTGTCAGGATAGATGACATAGAGGTATTTGTTTATGTGCTGCAAACAAGCTTTATAACACAAATTATGGAATACTGTATAAAAAGTGAATGAAGTGAATAAAGGATTAACTGAGATTTGTGTGGTTGTGTTGTTCTCTCTCTCAGCATTGCTCTCTAAGTAACAGAACGGTTTGCGTGAACCAACATGGCATTAATGTACATACATATATATGAGCCGGACTTATGATAGTCTAAAAACTTGGTGAGTTTCAAATTACCTGGTGACAGATTAATAAATAAGCAATATATTACAATTAACTTTTTCTTTTTCAAACAAGTTTTAAAAAATACAAACAGCACTCCAACGTACCTTCTGCTGCATCCAATTCCACACCCACCCATGGCCCTTGAGCAAATTCTGTTGGCCCCACAAATCTCACTGTGCCCAGCTTAGATGGCCCCCGTGAGGAGGTCACAATGACAGGCTCGCCTGGCTGAATCCAAGATGGCACTGGACCGTGTCCAATTCGACTCAGGTCTGCACGACTTCCGCCAAATGAGCAAAGACTCATGGCATCATCAGTATCATCTGTAAAAAAAAATGATTAAAGATTCAATATAGATTCTACTTTGCTATCTGCTTTGTCTTTCATATGGACATGTTATCAGGATTAAAAAAATGGAATATGAGTATAATATACAAATTGAGAATAAAGTATCTCATAACATCAAAAATAATTCCTAGATTTGCAATATTTTACAGAAGAAAAAATCCCACCTGAGTTGTCATCATCCATACTCATACTCGACCGGTCTCCAGCTGCAGCATCAGCGCTGTGTGACTTCCTCATGCCATCACCACTAGATGTCGCCAGCATAGCAAAGTCCAGGTCGCCCAATCTCTCCAGCTGTTCCATGGCTTCCTCGCTGTAGGGGTCGTAATCAGGAGGATCCTCGGATGTTGTGTCAAAGCTACTATCCGGAAGGTTTGGGAAGGACCTTGTCAGACGACTGTCTGGTTGGGGAGACATAAAGGTTTGGTCTTTCAGGGAATTCACAGGGGGCATTGTTAATGCCTCAATTTCACTCGTTTTCGAGTCTGACGGCTTTTCAATACTGTCCAATGACTTTGCATGCACCATTTTTGCCTCCTCCGTTTCAGTGGATGATAATTCTTTAGTCTTGTTTTCAGTGGAAGCTTCCTGTGCTACCCTTGGAGTTGCCTCATCGTCAGGACTGTCTGCTTCCTCATTGGTCAAATCTGTGGTTTCCATAGCAACTGGTCCTGGCACTTTATCGGCTATTTTTGTGTCATTTGCTTTGTTCTCAGTCACAGTTTTGATGCTTTGCACCTCTTCATCATCCTCGTCACTGGTGCTCTTTTGTTTCTCTTCCACGATATCATGCTTGTGTTTATCGGCCTCGGAATCCTCAATGCTCTGTAGACTGGTGGAATCCTCCGAGGCAGAGGAGAGAGTATGGGTCGACACAGCTTGTGAGCCGTAACCGCTCGACGTCATACTTGGAGTGAGCGTTTTCACTTGAAGTTCAGAGATGCTGTCACCAGTGTTGGAGTGACTGATACCAATGCCATCTTTTGGCGGACTGTTCTGAGCCGAGCTCGGTTTTACTCCATCTTTGTCAGAATGTGGTGCTTTGTACGACTCAAAATCTTGGAATTCATCACTGCTCACGCTGGCACCACGATGGTTTGGTGGCTTTGGACGATCAGGGGACAGGCGTGTTGCTAGTTCTTCTTCATCAGACTAACAAGGAAACAATTAGAACATGGAGATCAAATACTATAGGAATATGTTAATCTTGCAGATTATATTTTTAAACTCTATTTATTTAACATATAAGGTTACTGAGAATTGGAGAGAGTGGCTGATAAGGTTAAGAGAGTCCATATAAAAATTGGTGATTTATAAAAGGCCTTTTTATAAAAGGCCTTAATCAATTTTTCAAAGGACTCCCTAAAGACATTGAAGGAAAAAGAATATACATACGTCAATTGATTGTACATAGAAGTTAGGTGGTTAATAAAATCATTTCATTTTCAAAGCAGACATTTTGAGAAAACAAGAAATTGCACATCAGGTTGTCCACAAATTCCCTTTTCTAGAATTATAGGTCTGTAGACAGCAATTTAAAAGGGGAGGGGATTCTTTTCCTGAAGAAGTGAACCTTTGACCCCCTTTTCATCCCTTCTGGTTGACCAATTTGGGAAATAAAATAGAACATAGAAGTAATCTTTATATACAGAGTGGGCCTTTTACAGACGAAAAGGCATTTTTTTCAGAGCCAAGCCTGTTTTTTCACCTTCCCAATCCTCTGCTTGCAGAATTGATCATATTAATATATTAGCCACTACTTTTAGACATCTACGGAATAATCTAGCACATACATCATCTCCGTTGAGGAGAGGTTTCTTGAGTTGTTGCTCCTCCATCAAAGTTCTCATAGGCTTCACTGGTTTAGCTGTGGTAGGACTGGTGAACTTTGGCAGGGCTAGAAAGAGAGATGGAAGGATGAATGAAACGTGGATTTAATCTGGCTTAGAGACATTTGCTGTCTGTGGTTGTTATTTAATTTCCTCCTGCTTTAAGCCAGCGATGTTACAGAGATGTCTTCATAATAAGAGACATAGCTTTCACAGACATTATTATGCCATTATGGTACATATTAGTATCGATTTTTATATTACCATCAATGCACTAGACACCGCGGCCCATATGTACTTAAAACTTGCTTTAAAATTGTCCATAACTGTATTTAAAATTTAAAACAAATCCTCATGGGAATATGTATCAATATGTGCTGAGAAAGCAAGTTGCAGCAACAGCAGCTAGCATGCAGTACAAATGCATATTCTAATGACATAACAATCAATTTAGGGGGAGACTCAGCTGTTCACATTGAAAGGTTCTCAAAGAAAATCCAATTTCAAATAGTTAATTTTGCATTACATCTTGAATAAGTTTTAAAGGATGAAAAGGATAAATTCATCATTATTTCCCAAATGAAAATCCAAGTCTGCCCCTACAAATAAATTCATCTTAACAGATTTGGTAAAAACCTGAACATTTTGTCACTTAAAAATTAATAAATATTTTAAAATGCTTAGTTTTGACACAGCCATATTGGGTGACCAACTTTAGAAAATTGTTGAGAGGTCCATTTCTTTAAGTTTGACAAAATTTTCAAAATGAAAAATTTTCAAGACCGACTAAATTTTCAAGTTTTTACCATTTGACATATATCTTCAGCAGGCTGTGGGAAAATATTGCACAGATAATTATTTTTCCTGAATCAGTCTATGGATATATAAACTGGATTTTGGGATGAATTTGGTATCAAATACATTTTAAGAGAGATTTGGAGTGAATTCTGTTGTAATTGAGTAAATTGTTAATTAATTCCCATTTTTCGATAAGCACCTTTCAAAGAATCAACATTTTCAATAAATAGCACAAGTTTAATTTTTTTTTACTTAATATTTATATTCATATTTTCCTTTCATATTTTGTCAGAGCATTTTAAATATTTATAAATGATCAAATTTCATGAAATACTGTTGGCTGTTAAATAATCTGAATCATTGTTATTCTGTTGTAATTGAGTAAATTGTAAAATAATTCCCATTTTTTTCAAAAAAAAAAAAAAAAATATGCAGCTTGAAAAAAATCAACATTTTCAATAAACAGCACAACTTTAAAATTATTTGTCAATATTCATACTCATTTTGTCTTTTCTGTTAAAAAATCTGAATCATTTTTATTTTCACAGAATTTTTTGTATGAACTTCAGTACAAGCAATGGTGGTTTCCCTTTTATTTCACTATACACATACTTAAATTCTGCTATTCCCTCTAAAATTATATAATAAATTTTTCCAAAAACAAATACCCACTATTATTATAATATTAAATATTTTTGCTTCATAAGCTTCTGAAAAAGTTAAAGAATTAATTTATAACTTGCATACTTTATTGTTTCACTGTCATATTCACATTATTTGGATAATTACATGAAAGGAAAACCACCATGAATGGGCATTTTTAGGCAGAGTGTCAAATATGGGTATTCTCGTATTTCCATACTTGTCGGTGTGAAACTAAACCTATTTTCCTTCCCTTTGGCTCTAGAGACCAACGTTATAGAATTTGTCACATAACTCGGCCTGTACAGATTTATGCAGGACCTAGACATATAACCTACCAACAAAAAATGTCATAACTATAAGAAAATAGAATAACACACAAAAATACAAAGTCAAATAATTAATAATTGTAAACAATAATGTCAAAACCACGAGACAAAAACACACACAACATGCAACATAGTGTAAGATACTGTACAACACAATTTTAGCTACAGAAAAGTTTTTAAAGATAATGAAATTTACAAGCTCGCATTTATCTTCATAGGAACCTACGAGATGACAATTTTGACTGAAAAAAAGTGTACATAAGAGAAAAACTGAAATCATCTTGACAGAAAACACTAAGGTAAAACAATAAAACCCACATGTAATGAAATTGTCCCAAATGCTGGAAACTCTTAGGGACCGTTCATATGAAAAATCTATTTTCTAAAAATCTATTTTCTATTTGCGGTATCTTGTGATCACTCCAAGCGCAGCCGAGAATTAATTGGAAGTAACTGGCTCGCGCTGCCAGTAATTACGCCGCGGGGTATTCAGGGCACAGACCGTGATCACAAGATACCGCGAATAGAAAATAGATTTTTAGAAAATAGTTTTTTCATATGAAAGGTCCTTTATTCCACCCTCTTGTAGGTTATACAAGTGAGGCACATTATAGAAGCATTTGGCAAATTTCTTCCTTCATCTTTCCCCATTGTGAAGAAATCTCTCCACACTCCGAGGTTCAAAGACGAAGGTGAAACAGAAGGTGTGACACCTAAACCTATGTGCATGTACTCATATTTTACTCCTTCAGCATAAAAAACTGCCACTGTTTATGAAACACTTTGAGATCCTCAGCATGTTTTCTAAAAAGAATGTCAGAGTTTCTGACAGAAAATCATTGACCAAGGAAGAATCTTTTTTTTTAATTTTGTTTGCAATGATTCACAAGTTTGAATTTTAGTTGAAAACTTGAGAGTGAGAATACAAAGTATTCAATTTAATATCATATCATTTTATATAAAAATGAAACTGTTGTCACTGTTTTTTTATGCTATTTTGCTGAAAGTTTCTTGGCTTGGAACTTAAATCTGTTTGTTTTTTTCATATGCAATGAGGTGGTATAACTCTGGTTAAAAAAATTGCTTTTATTGACCACAGTTTTTGTTCAGGACTTATGCAGTGAATTTTAGTGTTTTTGTTTCCTTTGATCTGATAATTTACTGAATGTTTTATACTCTGTATAAAATACCATAGGGAAAACCAAGTCCTTTTCTACTGATCTCTAGGTTCAAAAATTCTGTGGAAATATCACAACCTTTTGGAAATTGGAAAAATGATGCTATGGCCATATGATTGTATTTATGTTTTGAAAACCAGTCTTATCAACAGATGACACAAATTCTAGATGTCTGTATTTAAGGCCATAAAAACAAAGCAAATGCTTTGTTTTTCAAAACTCTACCTTTGAGTGAAGTAATTTACTAGCAGCATCGCTCTTTGTTTAGGACAAAAGAAATCCAATGTGGCTTGTGGATGCAATGGCCCTTTACCATTGACCACCTTCCAAGACTGATTAACTTTATTAAAATTATGAACCTGATATCCAAAATTACCTAAATTATAATCTAAATATTTAATCCAAGGTACAATATGGATATATTAGTGAATGTGTAGAACCTAATAATTTAATCTTAAAATATATTTTCAGCAAAGAAACGAGTAAGTTTTGCAAGTTCACTAAAAGATTGAATTTAAAGTAATCCCAATATTAGCTACCCATAATGCCATTCCATTTACGATACAAATAATGGGGCAATCAAGGAAATAAACTAAGCATAACTGCTGAGGCCTTAGTGTAAACAACAAGTCTGATAAAAGCTGAGCTGGAAACGCATACAAATTACACGAAAACATGCAAATACTTGTAGAATGCAGACATAATGCAACAACATGGAGCAAAATGGGCGTGCTGACAGTGACTGCGTACGTAGAAAAAATCGTGAATGCATGCACATAGGAAGAAAGAGAGATGTACTACCAAAATACGAGAAGAGACTGAACGTACGGCATGGACCCTCTGAACCACCTCGCGACGACGGCCCCAACCCGCAGGGGTCCCCGCCGCTCAGACTGCGACGCAGTTTAGGTTTGGCAAAATCAAACCCCTTATAGGGCTTGGGCGCGTACATGCGCATGAGACGTGCGGGGTCCCTCTTCAGAGGGTTAGTTGTGTGCTCATGCGAGTCGGTCAAACCCACAAAATTGAGACCTAAATCCAAGGAAGTAGGGCGAGCTGTAAAAAGAATCAAGCACATTGTTAGTGGTACCAATTCCTGCTGCAGTCAAAAAATCTAGGTCAAAGATTAACTAAGGATTCAAGCACATGTCAATTCCTCTAGCATTCAAAATCTAGGTCAAGGTCAAGACCAAGGGCAACCTGTGTGTCTACAGCAAGGCCTAAAACGGTCCCCTTTCCTCATGCATGTAAGGAATTGGAAAAAAATAAATAAAGAGTGAGAAAGGCGACATTTTCAGCTTTACTGTAGCATCAGGATAGCTTTTTTCGTAAAACTAAACAAAATCTAGGTCAAAGGTTACCAAGCCAAGGCCACCAAGGTCAAAGGTCACCAAGGCAAAGCCAGCACAAAAGCGGCATGTTTATCATCCTCCCCAAACTCCCTCATGCTTCCCTCAAAGTAATTTTGTGTTCTACATGTATAACATACATCAATTTAAAGACAGTTCTAGTACAATGTGCAAACACATATCAGCTTTCAGTGCAGTTAGCAAACTAAAGGGTTTCATTTTTTAGTGTTTAAGTATAACCATATGTGAAAATAATTAAATAGAAAAAAAAAAACCAGTTGATGATAATTTGATGGAAATTTCATTACTCCTTCTTCTTTGTCTCCACTTTTCAAATTTATGCAAAATTCACCCCTGCTGAATGTTAGCCAGACTTTATACATGAACAATTTGAAAAAATATTTCTTCGCTCCACCCATAACATATACACTGTCCTATACATGTAAAAAATATTTGAATGTGGCCATCTTTTTACTAAAAGTTTTCTTTTCCAAAATTTCAATAAAACATGCAAGTTAAGTTGTCAGTATAGACAAAACCTCTCACAAAAGAAAGGTATCAATTATCCTGTCTGGAGGACCAGATATCAGTAGGGCTGGATAATGTTATATTCAGATTGTCATTGGAATTGCCGCAACTCTAACCTCTCCACTTTTTTCAGAATTCTACCTAAGGCAACTGGAAAAAGGTCTGCTTACCTAAGTTCCCCAATCCAAAGGCAGCTCCCATGCTCTTGCTCTCCCTTAGTGTGTCCTTCTTGCCACCAGAGTTCATTGACAGCTGAGAGACATCTTGTATACTCTCTGCCCGCAGCTGGAGATAAAAAAAAGAAATTTGTAATTGACTTCATTGGTCATGGTCATTGTTTAAAAGCCTTTTTTTAATATTGGTCTGTATACTTTGGCTATTCAATTTTTACCAGTGCACTCTGAGAGGTACCAACAAAGAAATACACAACATGGCGTTAAAACTCATCTCCATTTTAACATAAGCTAGATTCAGTATTATACATACAGAAATAATTCTTTCGTTATCTTTGACAGTACACTCGTTTTCAAACCTCACTTCAGAAAATAACAAATATTACTCTTCCATATAGTTACTAGTAGGTGAATTTTTCAGTTAATTTGTAGAGTTCTTTTTGGTTTAAGCAAGAGCCTGATGTGGCCATGCTTTCAGAAAATAAGTTAAAAAGACACACTATAACCAGGAAACAAGCCCCTTTCTTTCCAAATAATAATAAAGCAGAGAACTTGTAAACAATTAAAGCCACAACAAAATAATTAATAAAATATGTATAAATTATCAAATGAAAATGCAATTATGAAAACAAATGAATCAGTTGCAAAATCAAATACTTTAACACTCAAATAAATTATTAATCATTAAGCCTTGATTGTTCGATATTCTGTATCTTAAAACAGTGAAAGCAAAATGAGTCTGTGCACAAGTGGGTGCATGCATGCGCATCTTAATTGTGTGTAATACATATACATGTTTGTGTATAAATGTATATAATGTAAGTCATTCAACAGAAGCAAATGCAGGAGCGGATTCAGAGATATTTTCTGACAGTCTTCCAAATTATCTTTGTTGCTCTGTTCTTCATTTTTGACCGTCTTCCGACAGAAAAAATTAGATACCCATGAATGTAAACTTGAAAATCTGACCGTCTTCCGGAAGACCCAGAAGACGCCCTGAATCCGCCCCTGAAATGTGCATGTATGATGTGTGTTCAAACATGCCCGTGTGCATGTTCTTACATGCATATGTGTGTGGTTAACTATCTGTAACAAATAGACTATCATGCTACATCCAATAAACAAATATCAAATGGCTGTGTTCACTTCTGAATCAACTTAGACCTGAAACTGACCAACTGACAAAACCTGAAGGTATTTTCTCGCTTAAGATTGCCTTACTTTATCCAAGTAGGTTTACAAAACAATGGCTTTGAAATTTCGAAATAGCCTCTTACTGATTTAAATTAGTGGAAGGTGTTTGAAAGAAAAGAAATAGCTAAGAATTGTAAACATACAGAGGTTTTATAGCAATGGCCCTGATTGCTCATTTAAAGTCAATTATACAATAGGCAGTTCTTATCCTATGGTGGTGTCATTTAGTCCTGCTCATGTTTAAGTTGATTCTAGTGTGAATGCAGCCTGGGTCACATACCTGGTTATCCAAAGGTGAACTGAGGTGGGGAGACATGTCCATTCTCAAGGCCTACATTAGTCAAGCAAACAAACAACAATACACTTAAAGAGTCAATACTACATTGCAAGTGAGGGTGGGGGGGAGGAGACAGAAAGGAGGGGCAATAAAATAATACAATTTTTAGGTTAAAACTAAGGTACACAATACTTTTGAGGCAATACATTTACAATATGATGTACTGTACACTTGGAGGGAGGAATTACATAATAGGAATCTAAAAACATCAGAATATAATACTGAAACATGCAATATCATAAAAAGGAGTAAAGAAATACAGGGTGGTCCATAAAAATGACCTACTTTAAATTAAGACTGAAAGTAAAATAGGTCATTTTTATGGACCACCCTGTAGGTTTTGGTACTGCAAAAATGATACAGACCAACCAACCAACCAGGTAGTTAGGGATACACTAAAAAACTTGAAATTTTCGTCAGTCCTGAAAATTTTGTCAGAAGACATTTCTCGGTTGATAAAATTTTTTCACTATGAACATGGGCCTATCGTTAATTTTAAAAAGTGTGTCACTTACTTTGGCCATGCCGTCACAGATTCACACATTTTAAAATATAAATTTGTTTTTAAGTGATGGAATTTTCAAGGTTTTTACCGTACACATTTCAGTGGTCAAGGACATTCTTTATTGAACATTTCACAGGAATGTAAAAACTTGACGCAAAGAAAATGATGGAAATTGTAGAGAATTTTTCCAAATAGAAAAAAAAACATGTAAATAATACAGAATGATACTTCTTAAAATTCTAAACACAGAACATATGGCATTCATACTAACAAGCAAAGATAAAAAGTGCCTTTAAAAATATTCAAGATTGACAGCTCTGTAGATGACTATTGTACTACTAAATAAATATCAAAAGATAAATAAAAAGGAATTAAGAATACAACACATAATACTAATACTTTGCATTAAAGGTGCACAGCCTATAGGAAAACAAGTTGCACATATAAAGTGAGGCCATGCAGATTTCAACTGAATACTTCACATATAAGCTGAATAAATGAATAAATAAGAGATTATTTTGAAGACTTATCAATGTAAGTGATAACAAAAGAAAACTTACAGCTTGTATATTAGGTACACTTGATGTCTTCTTCAGAGATCGTCCTTCTGCCGAGAGCAGTTCCTTCACAGCCACTTCCTGTTTATTACAAAAAAAAAAAATAATAATAATAAAATGCCATTTTTTAAATTGATTACTTTTCACGAGAGGTAAAACAAACATTAAAATATTTTTAAAATATACAAATTTTATATATCATAACATGTTTAGAGCTGTTAAGAAAAGTAAAAATTTGAAGAATATTTTGGTAGAAAAATTACATACTAAGTAACGTAATCCACAATATTTCTCAAAAACAGATTACTTCTCTGAAAATAACTAAAACAATATAGAACTTATAACAAATAAGACAGCTGGCGATGTCAATGCGATTGCTTTTCTCCGCAGTCAATTCAGTTGTGAGCAATTTCTTCAAGATACTGACCTGTCTTAACTTGTCTAGCAGCAGTATACTTTCCACTGCTGACACGCCCTTGATATATTTCTCGATATAGGACTCTCCGTCTGGCATCCCAGACTCATTTTGAGAGGCAGCCATCTGTGCCAGGGTTTCTCTGTCTTCTAGCTCTTCTGACGCCTGAGAAGACAAATAAATAAATGGTGTTAGACAAAATTACCATTTTATTTTCTTTCTTTGCAAGAAACAGATATTTGCCAAATTTAGAAAGAAATGGTATAACAGAGCATTAAGGAATCGGGTGCTCAAATCAGCTACATATAAAAAAAATTTACAAAGAAACAAAAGAAAAAATAAAAACTTTAAAGCCATTCATGTCATGAATATTTAGGCTTACAATCACTGTCTTTTCTTTTTCAAATATGCTATATGCTAGAGCAACTTCTCATAGACAGCTACAAAAAATTTGTTTGCCTTTACCCACAATTAAACTGTTTACAGTGAAATCAAAACCAGGCATGCATTTTAGAATCTATAGCTTGTCTTGAAATCAGTACCCCCTACCTTTGGTATATTGGAGACAACTTCAAAGGTGATACAAGAGCTGTAGAGGTTGTCCTCTTTCATGTGTGCCGCCGTCAAGATACGCTGCATTGTCTCGTGCTGTAATTAATTAATTATCTACTTCATCTACAAATTACATTTCCCTATAGATGACAAGTTTATATTAAGATTTATGTCACACGTTGCTCCATTTGACAATATATCGAAATGCTAATTTATATTGTATTTTCTTTTTAGCTCTTTCACACTACTGGTCAAACGTTAACTTTTTTTAAACAGTGAATTTTTCAAAATAATTTCATAACAACATAAAAATCTTATGTTACTAAAAACAACAAACTGACATGCTATACTTAACCCTTTTTACCATCATAAACCTTACCCCTTTAAAATAATTGATCCCCCCTATCTTTTTCTTCAGTTTATTGGTAAGACTCTGTCTCTTATATACACTGACGCATATCCTTTTGCGTAGAATTATATCTATTGGTGCTGGGTGACTTAGGCGAACTACAACCTTGACGATAAGGTACACCAGTTCGTTGTCAGGGGTGACCCGATTAAGATGAACAGATTCGTGAATGGAGGAATCCCAAGATGCAATGGCACCAACCTGTAATTACAATGACAATAGAGGAAATCATAATACCTTACCTTAATCGAGATCTATGTACTAGTTGCATATGCCAGTTACAATCCAACTTTTTTATAGAAATAAATGTGTTACCTGTTCACATTCATGCATTCCCTATTTCAGTGTGCTACCATGGTTATTAAAGTGATGCTCAAATCTTTAAATTAAAATCAGGCAGAATAAAAAACAATTCTACTGTTACATTAATAATGAGTTGAAAATACAAGATCAATAAAAAAATAAATAAATAAACCCTTCCGAAAAAGTCCTACAGGATCCTATAAGATTCTATAGGAGCCTATAGAAAATTGGCCCATTTTTCAATGAGCTCCTATTGGATATTACAGGATCCTAAAGGACTTTTTCATAAGGAATAAATAAATAAATAAACCATACATCCTTGTCCAGTGCTTTAAGTATTGGCAGTTCAAAGAACTTGGAGTCAAACTCCTTGGGTAGGATGGAGTTGACGCCAGCGGCGTGGATCCCCTGCTCTGGCATGGTCATGTCCTCAGCTACAGTGGGGGAAATAGAAATAAATAGAATATTAAAATAAAATACATATGGACAAATACTCTAGCTTAGTTATATGTCCATTACAAGAGTGGTTCAAATACTGGAGACTAGAAACTCCAAATCCATGGGTTATAGATTGTAATTTTCTCTGTTTTAGATAGGGTTCAATGGATTTAGGATTAGTGTTAAAATTTTCAAGAAAAATTAATTTTGGTCTGATACATAAACCTCTCACATGAATGGTATACCTGAACATATGTGAACATCTTTAGGACAAAACTCACCATTCAGGTCCAGAAATATCACAGGTATATGGTTCTCCATGCCCCAAGGTGGGGTCCTAGAAAAACAAGAAGGGAGAACAGAATGAGGAGATATATATTTTTTTCCTTTAACCACAAGTTGCATAGCTCAACCTACCCTGGACTAATTCAAGCTTATCATGTAATTCATAAGTGCCCACCTCCTCTTCAACCCTAAACAGTTATTATGACCCATCCAGCAGAAACCCTTAAATGACAGTGTCAAGTTTTAAATTAAAGCAAGCAGTATCCTACCCTCTTTTCCCTCATCCCTCTCTGCTCCATTCTGTGCCTGTCCCCTACCCAATCCCTCTCCCCCATAATTTATAGCCCTTCTCTCACCAGTTCAGAGGAGCCCTTCAGGGACTAATACTCTCCCCCCAACCCCCCCCCCAACTCACCCCCACCCCCACCCCCACCCACAACAGTGCGCGCTATAGAAATGAAGAANCAGTTCCCCTCTCCTCTGTCAGAGCCTGCCACTGGTTTAACAGGTTCTGCTCTCTCTCATTATCTGCATCACTTTTATCTGCAGTATAAAATGGGTAATTCTGAGTGAAGAATAAAATACATTTAAACCTATTGTGCATTGGGTAAAACTTTAAAGGTAAAACTTTTTAGTTGAAAATAAAAATTTGATAATTTGCTATAAAATTAAACTATACACATTAAACATAAAAAAAACATCAATGTTGGATCTTGAAATTGTTTACCATGACCCCAAGAGACTCAGGTCGTCAACCTGGGTGCTTCAAAATTAAAGATGGACTCACCTTCCTTTCCAACCAACTTCTTAATCTGCTCGTCCAGGTACTCTCTCCGCCTGTCCAGAAGTTGCGTCCACTTCTCTCGCAGCACTTTCAGGTCCTCCTCCTGGTAACTGTCCAGTCCCTTCTGGAGCTTGGACCTGGCGGTCACTCCGCCCATAGAGATCATAGTGACCGCCTCACAGATGATTGGCAAGGTGCCAGAGTCCGGGACAGGGCGTACTTTGACTAAGACTCGCCGCGATTGACCCTAAGATGGAGAATTGAAAAAATATTAATATTTCAGGTCAGTTTGTATTGTTTTTATGAAATATTTAGAAAAACATGTTAAAATACAAACTGTATGTTAACCTGAAACTCGCAAATTATTATTATTATTTACAATGAACCTAAGGAAGTCCCTCTCTCCCCCACCTGCCTAAATCTGCGTTCTACTCCAAAGACTCCACAAAAATTGACCTAGGTTCGAGGTCATTTCTCATGTTGGGTCAACTTGAGCAGGGAGGGGATAGGGGTACTAAAAAGGTCCAATTTTTCAGAAAAAAAATGGGTACCTATGGCCTGATATATGTGATATTAGACCCCCAGGCTCATTTCTCTGACCAGTCTCAGCCTGAACATCCCCTGCCCCCCCTCTACCCCAGAGATCCCTTCCACTCACTTGCCTTAGTAAAGTTAGTTGGAACACCCTTCCAGTGAGCACCCCCCTCCTCCCATACACATCCCCTCCACACACCCCTGTATTCTACCCCAGATACTCTATAATCTTACCTGTCTCAGTTGGAACACCCCTCCAGTCAGCACCTCAGGTTTTGGCATCACCTCTACTGGCGTGTATGATCCCTCCTCGTTCAGCTCGTGAATCTCCACCCACATCTCCAGCTTACGAACCAGCTCCACCCACCTGGGAGATAAACGGGGATTGTTCTGAAAATCTTTGCCTTTATTGGTTTCTTTCTGGTTCATGTACTGGATTTATTTTGTATATTTTCCTATTTTTATGCTCTTTTTTATCTTAATTCTTTTCTTCATTATTTCAATTACTTTCTTAATTTTTGTCTCCTCTGGTTTATATATCAAAGTTATTTTTCATTTTTACTTTTCACTTTTTTCCTTTTAATTGAATAAATAATCAAGACTTTTTTTTAATGTTTATGAATTCCATTTCATAAACAGCACCCTCCTTTAAGAAAATTCCCATTAAAATTTCATTTCCTAAACTGAACCCTCCCTTCTTAATAAAAAATTCCCAATCAAAATTTCACCAAGTCCACATGATCTCACCTGTCTGCTAGTGACCTGTACTTGGCTTGGACACTGTCCAGTGTATGAGATGGACCTAGGAACCCAGTGCTCCTGTGGCCCCACACCTCGATGGACAGCGCCCCCTCAGATGCATGCTCTATAAACTCATCTGATACGTTTACTTTAAATTCCTATGATAAAAAAAAGAGAAAAGTAGGTAAACTAGAAAGCAATCCAGACCCCAGACCTTAATATTATTTTTAAAATATAAGAGATCTGATTCAGTTGAAATTGTGATCACTTCTTAATCTTTAATACGTTGAATGCAATAAAAGGTAACAACAATTATCCAAATTCACTTTGTATATATTTATATCCTTTTAGACATTAAAAATAGTTTCTTACTACAATTTCACCAAAGATGTGCTCATATCTACAATAAAATCAAACGTGACACTTCACTTCAAATTTTCAAGTTATCAAATTTCTCAACCTCAGACTAAAACATACATAAAGCAGAAAAAGTAGCGATTCTGCAATACTAAATTTTATTCAGCATCTTTCTATCTACTCACTCTAACATGGTCAAACTTGACCGTTATTCCAGAGGACTTCTTGTTAGAGTTGTCCTCCTGGTCCACAATGGGGGCTACAACTATGGGTTCAGGGTGTCCCCAAAAGTTGTACTGGCAGAAGACAAAGTGGGAGAGATGAGGGGGGATGCCCCTCGCATCATGAATATAAACCTGAAATAAATAAATAAAATAAAGTTATGAAATAAAGTTATGAAGATTACAAGACTATAGACTATAGACAACTATCCCGATAGAAGATTATAACTCGGATAAAACATGCAAATGTTCTATTGCTGTATTTTTGAATTTGTAATATTTGTATGGAGTTGCCAACATGACAGTACTCAAAATGTGTAGATCTATTGTCTAACGTCTATTTACAATAAAAGTACACCTGAAAACAAGGACAGTCCGACCTAAATAACACACAGAATATGGGTGAAGAATTGGCAAGTCTGTCTACATATATATATGCGATCTATCGGTGGTCAGCAGAAGTCATGGTGAAGAGGACCCATCATAAGTCCAGATAAAGAATAGCATTAAAATTGAAATTTCACTAAATTATCACAGAGAATTGCAGACCAATAAAAGCCTAAATTTCAGAAAATTTTCCTTTGTTCATTGCCTCCATTTACCTTACAAACCATAGGAGCTCCCAGCTCCATACGTAACACATGATCGTCCTCATCATCCTCCGTTCTGTTACTCTCGTTGCTGCTCTCTGAGCTGGCGTCAGTGTGACGATTTGCTATAGCACCAGATAATCTAGAGATTTCTACATGAAGTCGACCAGCAACCTGGAAGAATATTTAGACCAATAAAAAATCAAAACTTTTATTGTTCAAATCAGATGAAAGTAAATGAACCAAATATATCAATATAAATGATGAAAACTTTTCATCAATAATAAATTCAGTAAATTTTTTACAAAATCTCTATTTTGATAAGTCAATCTCAATGGCTTTACCCAAAATTTTCAAATTACAAAATGATTGCTATTTGCAAAGTCTCAATTTGTGTTGTACAATTTACAATAAATAAATAAATAAAATATAACTCACCTCTCCTTGCTGGCTTATTATGGGGACCTGATAGTCCAGCTTGACGTCATAAAACAAACACTCCAGGAAGACATTAGCCACTCCAATCAGATTGTGGTTTTCTTGGGACTCGTAGAAAGGATCGCCTCTTGGAACAGGGCCATCCTCCTGCAGAAAATACAACAAAATTAATGGATTAATAAATAAACATAAATACATGAACGCTAGAAATTTTTTTAGGAATGAGAGACAGTGTGAAACAGTCTTTTTTATGGCAGAACTAGGTAATGTAATGTTCAAAAATAACTAAAAGTTATAAAAGTTCTGAATAATAAATATCATTCTAACACTTCTGACCAAGTAAAGTTCATGTTAAGATTTCAAACATGAGCAAGACTGAGAATTTACATGAAACAAATATTTTAAAACCACCTTAAAATTCTCTTTAAAATTATCATTAAAAAATTTGGAAATTATATGTTTTTAAATATATATGCATATCTATTAAGTTGTTTAAGCTGCAACATCAACAGAGAGAGACTAAAATTTTGTTAGACACCACATCCAGTCTAGGTGGAACAACAGGGGAATTAGACCACTTCCTATGGTTAGAAATTCTAATCACAAGATATACAGACAAAGGCCATTTTTAAATTAAGTCCGGATGACAGGAGCTGACTTGGTTATAATATTTAGACAACTATCCAGATACCTATACACAAGCAGACACAGCCATTAACATTACACACTTCAGATATAGATCCAGCAGATGTTTACAAGAACCAAAAAGCTTATGAAAGGTTAGGTCACAACATAAAGAATATATTATTATACTAGACACACATGTAGCAAATGAGGAACTAAAATCTCTACACAACCACTTAGTGCCTTTTAGATAGATACAGTGTAAGTATAATAGCTAGTATGTTAAGACTACATGTACATACATATATCACACAATGTTAAGGGCCAGACATAGCACTAAATATTTCTATTGCTTCCCAAAGAAAAAAACAAACATCAATAAACCATAAGCTACAATATACTGTATGTACTTCTTAGCACTCTGGAAATAGCTGTCACTCAAAAGCTTAGAATTTAAAACAATTAAAAGCATGTTGTAAAAAAATATGAATGAAATGACATCCACATAATTGGCTGCAAAATTAATTTTTTGTGTGCTTGATTTTGAATTTTTGTTTCTGCAAAAAATTTTGCAATCACCAATTTTGTTAGTTATCCTTTGCCAACAAGATTTAACATTAATTTATTACTTCCAAATCAAAATTTTCTAATAAACAATATGATCAAAGAAAAAATATCCAAACCAAAAAAGTTTTTAATCCCAGGGTGCTTTGAAAAGGAAAAATAAGTAAAAGCATTAAGCACACACACCAAACGTATAACTACCGGATCGCTGACAGAGAGCGGGAGATTTTTGGTGATCCTGTCCTCGTACAACTCCCTCATGTCGATCAGTTTGTTCTCCAGTTTCTCCATGCTCCAGATCTGATTAGCATTTCCCTTACGCTTCACCAAGATGGCAGGCTCGCAGACAAATGTTCCTTTCTGAAGTATTGGATAAAAATCATCTGAGGAGGCTCACAAACAAAATTTCCTTTCTGAATTTTATTAGATAAAATATCATTTGAGAAAGTAATGTTTGAACAATATCAAAAATTGCATAAAGATGTCTATGAAAAGGGTAAACTCAAAACAGAAATTAAGAAAGTTGATGAGAAGGAGGATGAATCTCAGATATCCTCCAAAACACTAAAATTTTGAACCCAGCAGTGTACGATTGATTACCTTTCTGTTTGGACTTAAATTTTGTGCTGGTATTTGTAGCGTGACATGGAATTCCGTTTTCTTGGACATTTCTTGGGCCAGTAAATTGGCCTCTCTGACCAAAGAGTTGGCCTTGACCACTTCTTCTTGGAGTTTGGTCAAACTCTGCTTAAATAACTTCTCCCTGGTTGAGATAAAAAAAGCAAAATAATATATATATTGTTTTTAGAGACTTCTGTTATCAAATTAAGAGAGGACAAGAAATATTAATGATGTATTCTTTGTGATTAAGGCCACTGTGAATTTCAAGAAACCTTTACCCGGCCAATTTACATTTGGCTTTTTAAAAAGTCAACAATAATCTCAAAATTAATATTGATATTTTATGGCTTCAAGACTGAAGCATCTTTAAGTCTAGTACCTTAAAGCAAACACAAACTGCAAAATCCTGAATAATATAAATTCTTTGGAAATACTGAGGTTAATACTGAAATATCACCAAAAACAAGCAACAACTAATCAACACAAGGGTTTCACGTCTTTCCTCTGCCCATAAAAACCAATCAACACAAGGGTTTCATACCTTTCCTCTAACCACAACAGCCAATCAACACAAGAGTTTCATATCGTTCCTCTGCCCACAATAGCCAATCAACACAAGGGTTTCTTACCTTTCCTCAGCCCACTGTTGATATTTGGGATGTATTGTACTGGGCGTGACATTCTGTAGTGAGCCCCCTGGTGACAGGAATGGCTGCGATGGCGTCCCAGGTGACATCAACTGATTGCGTAGCATCTGCATCTGCTCTTCGTACATTTGCCTTTGTTTCTCAAGGGCAGCTGAAATGCCATAAAATGCCTTTATTTAAATGTCAATAAAAAGTTTTTTCTTACTTTTTTTAAGTCAGTCAGTTTTTTCATGTAACACGGATTGAGGTCTTTCACTTCACAACAGACATACATTTTTTGTTTGATATCTCCAAAACTGATAATTTTAGCATTTAATTTTTTTTTTCAAATATTCATTGTATTTCTGTCATGAACAATTTTTCTTCCACATCATAAGCCATTTTTGTAAGATCTCCTTACTTTAAAAGCAGCAAAATATCAAGAATCAAGTCAGTGTTCCAACTAAAAATTATTAAATTTTCAAAATGTTTTTAGCAGATATGTTCTATTAAACATCTCAACCAATTTTTATAAACTTCACACAACTGAAAAAACAGGGAAAGGTTGCCATTCAAGATATCGAGAAATAATAAAAATGCACATTCAACACAAAACCTAAGAGCTATACATATCTGGGTGGCCTTCGTTCAGTTTGTATTGAGCTCAAAACAAAAAAATTCTAAAACAAATACAATAAAATGCACAAATCAATACTGATCAGGATAAATGGCCTGAAATAGCTCAAGCCCACAAAAATAAGTCAAGGCCACAAAAAATAGGTCAAGGCCACAAACATCAAGTTTCAGGAAAAACTTGCTAAAATCATATATACTACAAGAATTACCAGTGATGCTTTGAATTGTCCTGGGTGATATAATGGGGGCGCCTGAAAGTGGGGCATAGACTCTACATGCTGTTGACAAATATATATATATATATATATGTGATCTATATAAAAATGCCTCCTAAACATACAAACAACATGGCATGCAACATTTAACTTTATCACTTAAACTGTACGAGGAAAGTGCTTTGTTATGAAGCTCAGAAAAGTACCCAACATGTCACACTGACTAGAGAAAAATGAATGTAACTGCATGCAGTGACATTTAATTACCATATTCTGGTCATCATGCATTAATTAACACATCAAAGTAAAATAACAAAAAAAAGTCACTAAGTGCATTTTCATGCTGTTACACCCTATACTGTGTCAGTGAATTAAGGCACAGGGTGCATATTATGTGCACTTTTTCTTTTAAAAAATCTCTATTACCTTGCTTGTCCATCTCGTGCTGTTTTTCTATGGCACTCATGGCATCCTTAATGGGATCATTGTTCAGTTCTTTCATCATCAGCTCCATTTGAGCAAAATCATAGTCGATGGTTTGGTCGTGTTCATTTTCTGACTCCTGTTCCTGTGACGGGCCTGGGAAATAAGAGATGTCATATAAGATATGGTCTGGTCATTTTAATTTTCTCACTCATGTTCCTGTGACGGGCCTGGAGGATTACAGATGTTATATAAAATAAATAACATTTCCAATTACAGAAAACATATATTCCATCATTAACTTCATCTGAGTAAGGTGATAATCCACAGTATAAGGTTATATTCATTTTCTTACTCCTGTTTTGTGACATGCAAGCAACATGAAAAAAGTCAATCACATAGCGGTTTAGATCTTGTGGAAAACATCCAACATAAGCTCTATCTGAGCTAAGTTATAATCTGTATGCATAACGTCAACTTAATTTTCTTACTTCTTGTGAGAACAAAAGAAGTCATTCACATTTTCCATCTTCTCTAGGCCATAATAGCAAGAAAGTTTATGGTTTTGCAAAACAAATAATTTCCACTGAAACTATCTTGCATTAATGACTGGTCAATATAAAATCTAATGGGAATACTGAGAAGTGAAATACTCTACAGGGAGTTGCTATCTTTCTATATACGAGCGGCCATCTTCTTTATAATTTTCATCTGGTCAATTATAGACAGTGGTCCCACTACTCCGATCCCAGCATCGCATTATTTTGTCATCCATGATACTTATGTCAGAAACATTGAGGGGAGCTTTTACAGAGCTGATCATCTTGCCAGTAAAAAGAGTTGTTTGGGAATTGTGGGTCAAAATCATAACCACAATTATTATGGTTCTAAAGCCATCTGGCCAATTCATACAGACAGTGGTTATACCATTCTTGTCATCTAGGGTACTATCGTACAGAAAATCGCAGAAAATTTACAGATCAAAATATAAAATTATCTCCAAATTATAAAGAGGTGTTTGAAGTTAATGAGTCAATACCAAAGCCATAATGAACCTAAAAACCTTCCTAAATGCTTTTATTGTGTTGAAAAGTCTCTGAACAGCCATCAGATTGTATCATTTATCAACTGGTAGACATCAATTGGCTTCTTAAATGTAACATTCATGATAGTGGAGAGATTTTCATGGCAAACAGCACAGTGAAGACGCTGCAAAATGTTCTGTGTTATAGAACAATAATGACAATTTCAATATTACGGGAAATGTTATGTCATACCATTCTTATGTTCTATATATTTTATACAGCACAGGGAAACAGAAATACATTGGCATATTTCAAAGATCCTGGCAGAAATGTTCTGTATCATCTCTACAATCACTAATGGCCATTCCACAGAGTACCACAGTTTACTCTGGGTAATTCTGAGGAATAAAGTTCTCCCATGGGAGATAAATTCCTAGAATGGTCATTTTCAGTTGTGTTGCCAGCAGTAACCAAGGGTCAAGGTCAAGAAGATGAGATTTATGACTAAGATGGTTTTGTCTTCACAATTTATATAAATCGATGATTTACTCTAGTCACAGGTTTCAGTTTAAGAGCAAATAAAAGTATATCTTTTATTTTGTATAACCCTTTAGTTTGGGTTTAAGTCAGCTGTTCACATTAAATAATAATAATAATGTACTTACTGCTTGCTTGTTTTGGACAGTTGATCCTAAAGAAATGGTTATTTCCCCAAACGATACGATCTCCGTTTATCACTCTAGTCTTCTCCGTCACCACCGAGCCGTTTACGCAAGTTCTGAAACAAAAACAGGAGCGCACGTGAAATAACAAAAGTATAAAGTTTGACATTTCATCATTTGCTGCATTTTCACTTGACGCCCGAAGATTTTCCTGACTTTCGAAAAGCTAAAAATATAACAAAAAGAATCGATGACGGAATCACATTAGCCCATTCAATTACCCATTTTTACGGTGAAGGTGATATTCTAAGAGTTTTTTCCGGCTCTCTTTAATGGCCTTAGAATTGGAGCCTTGGTTTCTGTCATTATAAAATATAATGATTTGACATCAGTGGAAAACCAAAAAAAAAAAAAAATAAAAAAAAATTGCATCTCCCCCACCTCCAAAGTAATCAGTGACTGCTGTTCACACATTTTATTATAATAGTTAAAAATAAAAACAGAAAAAACAGCTTCTTATTAGGGCTGACAAAAATTAAATATCAAATCTCTTTAATTTATAAAAAACAACCAGTAATGATGTCGTTAAGATAATTTCTGGTCTAATTTTTTCGGCCATATATGAAAACAATAAAATTAAAACAAAAATATCAAACTGAAAAAAAGGGGGAAAATATAGGCCTTTATTATAAGCAAACCAATCCCGAGTATTATTTCTATTTGTTAAATGAGATCATAAAAAAGGCCCTTAATTTTTCTCTGAGCTGGTCAATAACATCAAGATCAAATGTAACTATTTAGAATGTCTAATATTTTTTTGTTTCTTGTCCTTTGGCATTATGGGATTTTGCGTTGCTGCACCACAACGCCTACGAGGTCAATCAATGGGTTGCAGAAACCAAAGGCCCAGGGCAGCAACATGATAGACCAATTTTCTGAATGTTCCTAGACGGGAAAAAATTATTGTTGACTTTCTGTCTGCTCTGGTGGCTAACAAAATCACCATCTATTTGTGATGTTCACTGGATAATATGCAGAGATGCTTTAGTTTTTAAACATGAAAGTACAAAGACATTTTCTAAGACTCAACGATGGCTACCTTGGTTTATTATGAAAGGTCACATTGACAGTACAGTTATTACTCAATCTTTTCAATGGGGGATCATTGTGAATTTTACAGAGAATTTTACAGGATTTATTAAGTCATAATTTCATCAAATTAAAACATTCCTATTGATTTGTAGCATCAAAATTAAAAAGCAGGCTACTCTATAGCTGTATTCTATGCAGTAAAAGCACCACAAATGCCATATATATATATCTGTGATTATAAAATTATGCACCTGAAAGTTTGATAATTTTTGCCCATTGAAAAGATTTACCATGGAAAAGACCAAGTATCAAAAATAAACTTGGCAAAAAAGGATGGATACAAACTTACTGATACAGACACTGACAGGTCCAATAGCCATAACGCCACAGGGCTTTTAATCCCTTTAGCAAGCTCTCTTCTTACTGTATAGTTAATTAAGTGACAGTGTCTAGTTTAGGAAATTCTCTTAAGTAATAGCCAGCTGGCTATTAAGTTGTCAATCTCTCAAAATGTACCTATACAGAATATATTGCTTAAAGTATACCTTTCCACATGAAAAAGGCCTTCCATTCTAAAAGTGAACATCATATGAGGGACTAGAAATCAATGTGTTAACCATATCTAAAAGGATGTTTTCTCATTTTTCCCTTGGAAATACATAAATTCTACAATGAATTAAATATCATGGCATTCCACATCTGTGCCCAGCCATTATGCTAGAAGTTTCTCCTGTAACAACAATTTACCCTGATGGAAAGACCAGAGGGAGATGCTGACATGTTCTCTGGATTGATTTAATCAAATGAACAAGTGTATTTAAGAAATTGTTAAGATCTCTTTAATGCAATATGTACATAGGGAATATACATAGGGAAGACTTAAATATTGGTGATAATTGTTTTTCATGTCTGTGGAGTATGTACTGTATTTTGAAGTCCAAAGTTAAACTGTTGACTGATGTACTACGAGTTAAATTCTAATTTTTCAATTTAATTTGAATTAAATTTTGTTCATTTTGCTTTAAACTAATCATTCAAATTTCTGAATTAGAAAATAAAGCAATCTGATTCAAAGTTTTGCGTGTGGAGGCAAAGTCCAAAGACAGGAGTTGAAGAAACATGTTTGTAAAAACAACTCAAGAAGCACCCCTTGTGTCTTTCTAAACTTTCTGGTCCCAAATCGCACACATGAACAGCTGCACACACACACACACACACACACACACACACACACACTAGTTCTTATGCTGACCTAGGGAATTCAGAGAGATCAATTGGCAGCAAAGTTAAAATCAAAATATATTTATTGAAATAATTCAGAACTTGCTAAAACAAACAGCAGTAAAAACAGGATATAAAAAGCAAAATATTTCCGAATGTTATGACACGCCCTCTGAACTCTGGCACATATGTGCTGATATTGCTATCGACAACAAGAAATCTAATTCTATACTCATGTCTTTTTCTTTCCATAAAGATGATTTTTTTTCAGATAACCCCCCTCCTCCTCCTCCAAAAAAAAAAAAAAAAAAATCAGAGTGGAATGTTAGGGCAGAAACACATTTCATGGAAGGTGGAAAATGGAGATGTGTTTGGTTTTTACCGTTTTGTTTTGAGAAAGTGACATGGGATATTTAGAGAGTCATGAATATTCTTTGACTGGCATCTACATAAACATCAATGCAAAATTATCAAAACGTGCTGAAAGTTGTTAAAAACTTGTTCAAGGACAAGGTGATGTCAACATATATTTGCTTTTAAATTATCCAAATGTCAAACATCTTTGTAAACAAAATGACAATATAATAATAATAATAATAATAATAATAATGATAATAAATACACTGCCACTGTAGGTCATAGCACCATATTAAAATGTCAATTTGAAGACAGTGTCCGTTTCAATTTAAGTTATGACACTCAATTTTAAAGTATCTGTCCAATAAAAAAAAAAAATTTTGAATATGCAAATCTGTTGCCTCACCTGGCTCCCTCTATTGGTGTCAGGTAGACATCTTGGTTCTCAAGGTCAAGGACACAGTGTTCGGGCATAATCCCCAGCCCCTGAAGCTGGATGTCTTGTTCAACAGGAGCATCGGCTCGTCCCACTAAGGTGTGGTCCTGGAATGATATTAAAAATTGGATCACAGTGGCCTCATTTTGAAAGGTGAAGGTCGTAAGTTCAAAAGAGCATTACTGATCCTGTGGCACTTGCTCAAGTCCTGAAAAGGGTTATAAAAAATTAATAAATTTCAATAAAAATAATGTAAAATTATTTTCAATGTCCCAGTTTTTACAATGTCAAGGTCATAAGTGTCAGCTGAAGGTCAAGGATAAGTGAAAGATAGGTTGTTGTATCTGAACTGCTAGATGCTTTTTCCAACTGTTAAGTATTCCTAAAATACGGTGAGTCCTTGGTCCCATATGATTAGTATAGCTTATGGTTAGCTGAAGTACGAGTCATTATTTATGGGGAAAATAAAAAGTCAATAAGTCAAGGTCAGACCTTTCTCAACTGCATAGATAAGAACAAACAATGCTAGCTGTGATGATTGGTACAATTAAGTTCTCTACACAGTATGGGTAAAAAACCAATTTTAAATTAATTAAGTATTAAAGAACTAAGCCCTGACTTTACTGATATAATACAACCTCTTGTGTGTCTCCACTTCTGAACCTTGTCGAACATTTCATTTACACTCCAATACATCACAAGTCATTACTCAAGAGTTGAGATGATGGAGTGCAGTGCTAACACAGAGTTCTTGATTTTACTAGGCATTAATTTGTTTTATATTGATTCCGGCATATTTATGTGTTATTTCAACCCCAAACCTTTGCATTGTTTTCTCTCTCTTTCTCTCTCTCTCACCCTCTCTGAGACTTTCTCTCTCTCAATGAATTCAATACACGTTGACCTTTTTAATGAGCAAATGTTTGTGAAACTTTCACCAAAGACTATCCCTGATGGCAACATTTCACCTAAAAAGCTCACTTTCCACCTAACTTTCTTGCTTATATATATACTGTCATTATAACAGCATAATTCTAGCATAAAAGTAAACTTAAATTTAAAAGATGTCTAATTTTTTTGTTTTCTAATCCTGCTTTCTTTGCTTCTAAGCTTCATAAAAATATATTCCACGATCAGATATATCGCAAACTTGAAATCAAAAGCAGTTTTTTCTTACAACCTTTCTCCTTTTCCTTCAAGAATGGATGTTCTATGAAGCTGTAACAATATCCGAACTAATTTTCCCTCCACACAGCCATAACAATGGCAGCATCAGATAAACAGTACACGTTTACATCAGCGACAAGAAAAATCTGTATGCCAAACTGCTTCAATGAGGTATAATGTTTCCAGTTTCTAGTTCCATCATCATCATTACATCACAAATATCGAATAAATGTTTCTGAAGCATGTACAGTTACCAGTTCCTAACACACAGACCAATCTACAAAATGGACATGTTCCTCAGATTAATTCAATTCCCTTAATCCAGTAATACATGAATCCTAATTTAATCAAAGGCAACCACTAACACACGATTGTGTTTAACTAAGCTGGAACAGTCTGCATATGTAGGGCCTGTTCAGAACCAAGTTGAACCAAGGACTAACTCATCCATGGATCAAATATGGTTGACCCATTTGAAAACTTTCTGCCTTATCCCCTAATGGATTCTCCGTAGGGATTACGTGACAAGCTTTCAAGTGGGTCGGCCATATTTGCACCCCAGATCTGTTAGTCTGTAGATCAGTGTGGTTCTCAACAGGCCCATAGACCAAATCTGATCAAAAACTCCTGATTAATAATCACAGCTAGCCTGCAAGCAGAGATGATAGGATTTCGGCGTGCCATAAAGCACATATACTGCTGCTCCTATTTAGTGAAGTCATTACACTAATTTATTAGCTTGTATCATGAAAATTCTGCCAATTGCCAAGCTGCTCACATTAAAATAATCCGTTTTCCATGATAATGATCAAGACACAAGGACTTACATAGACAGTGCTATGGCTTTTCTAAAAAAAAAAAAAAAAAAAAAAA